TCTGCCTCCACTCGCCTAGCTCCGACCTCTATTTGTCCCTCGTCCCCTCCGCTCCCACCCTCGGTGGCCGTGTATTCAGTCATTATACCCTGAATCTCTGGAACGCTCTCCCCCAATCCTTCCACCTTGCCCCCTCCCTACCCCACATGAAGGGTGCTATATAAATGCAAGTTATTGTTGTTAAGTGCAGAGCTGTTGGTGACCATTGGTCAATTTCAGTACAGTGTTTTTTTGTGTGCATTGGGCCTTGAATTAAGAATGGTGATCTCAGAACATTAATAGAGGACAGTGGAAAGTGTCATTACATCTTTCTGAGATGGATCTGTACATAAGACTCAAGAGGTGAAAGTGAACAACCTCAGAGTTCTCTGCAAAACAAATTATATTTAAACTACACATATAAGCTCAACTAATAACTGAAGGTGTAAATACAGTGCCTAACAACAACAACAACAAATTACATTTGTATAGCGCCTTTCATATCAGGAGGACATCCCAAGGCGCCTAGTGTGGAACTGACTCATCAGACTCATCAGACTAGGAAGGTCACAGTTTTGATAGTTGGCCTGTGCTGACTCAACTGATCTCAGCTATAGTAATGGTATAGATGGTACAAGAGGTCTCTTAAACGAGGGCATAATTCGGCCGGGGATATTATCCCTCGACATTGTTCATTGACTTCTGATGGAACAACAACAACAAATTCCATTTGTATAGCACCTTTGATGCCACTTGACTGAGGTAAAGGAGTGCGGCTGGCACCTAAGTTACTGGAGCATCAATGGTCAAGCGAGGAGGAAAGAAAACTGGGGGAAAAGAATTAAAAAATAAGCAGCAACATGAAAATAAGGGAATTGAACCAAGACAAATGATGAACACAATTACTAGCCGGTCTGTTGTAGTATCTGTTTCATTCAATGCCATGAGTGACTACAAGGATGTCAAGGACAAAGAGTTCAATAGGATATAATAGCACAGTGATGGCGGGGGCTGTGTGAGGGTGGAGGGGCACCTGGGTGCTAGAATTCACTCATGCTAAACTAGAAGGTTGTTTTTTTAGCCAAAAAGCACTCCTCACTTGAAATCATTTATCTCAGGTATATGGATTTTGTCTGATCTCAACCATCTCATAGATGTGAGTGTACCTAGAAAGTGAGAGGTGAGGTGCACCAGATGGGAGGAGATAGAATACAATGTTCAACCATTGTCTCTACCACTCTTCAACCTTAAGAATTTATAATAATTTTATCTGGGGGATTGTTGGCCAAGACACTGGGAGAGAAAAACTCCCTTCTTATTTTGAATAGTGCCGTGAGATCTTTAATGTTCATTTGAACATCCACTTGAAGAGGCAGGCGGAACCTCAGTTTAACGTCTCATGCAAAGGACATAACCAAAGGACATAAAGTAATGCTTCCCAGTGCTGTAGTGGAGTGTCATCTTAGCCTGTGAGTTCAAAGTCCACGTTGGGTTTGAATCTACAACGTTCTGACTCAGAGGCAAGAGTCCTTGCTGGTGTACTGCAGTTTGGGTCTTGGCCCTTTAGCCAGGTGTCTCAATATAAAAAAAATACTTCCACTAACATCGATTCCATGTTGTTAGGACAGCTTTCACATCAGTCACGGAGATGGGCATGGCCCAGAGCGTCAAGATTCCAGATCCACGAGGAAAGCAAGACAAAACAAGTCTCAAATGATTCTCCAAAAGGAAACGTGCAGCCTGAGCTAAGGTAAGCGATCCTTTGAGATTCCTGCAGCAAGGCTTTTGTGAAGTATTATCTACCTAGTCTCACTGGCTTGCGACCCTTGAACTGCTTGATGGAAACTCGCTGTAAAATCATGTGAAACTAAGTAGGATTTCTTACAAAACTGAAAGAATGCCTGTAGAATTGTTGCACTGGTTTTAGCGGGAAGCTATATTTTAGTTATTATACAAGCACTTTGATGCCTGCAATATAAAGTAGTTTTCTCAGCTGATTTCTCAGCAAATGGCTGCTTTAGCTTTGAAGAAGGTTGTTGCACTTGCATGAAACCTAGAGCCCAAGTGCTTCAGATGTGCTACCAAATCACCCTCAGACGTGGCATTCACTCACAAGCTTTTCGAGGTTTGAGACTCGATGGATGTGAACATTGCTGAGTACTACAACTATCACTGTGAGACATTTAGAGTTGCTGTATCCCTTTTATTTTTATTTTTTTTGCATGAGTTGAAAACATCAAGGTTTGAAAAGATGGCGTAGGCTGCAACAATGAGCCTTTGTATCATTCTGATGTGTCATAACCATCAAACTTTAACAATCTTGTAAAATCTACATCCACAAAATATTTGCTGCAAATTACTGTCATGAAAAGAGTGAATAATATGGGCCGGTAAAATGAACTAACCTCTAGAATTTCTCAATGCTTTATATATACTGTATATTAAAAAAAAACCTTCCCTGAACATGATTTACTTGCACTAAAACATTTTAAAGCTTTTGTTTTCATTTTTTTTAAATCGCAAGCAGTAAAGAGAATGAAATAATACTGCTGTTTCCACCACCATCAGAATGGTGGGTTCTGTACAAATTGCTTGTCCGTTCTCTGTAATTGGTACCTGTCAATACAATAGGGATTAAGTAAAGGATTATGCATCCCAAAGATGAACCTCTTTTGGGGGTGAGGGAGGGACACAGAAGAGAAGACATTCCACCAGTGATTAAACTCTCTTCATTCCAACAGACAAGAGTTGCGTTTTTAAGTAATATAGGGCAAGTTATTTTGTCATGCTGCAGTAGGACCATGTAAGTTAATTGCCTGAATGCCCATCTACAAACATTATAGATATGCTCACCACAAGAGGAGTTTGGATAAAGGAAGCCCTTTCATAGGTATATAAGACCCTTCATGAGACAAGTGTCCTTGCAGAATACCAACCCTATCCGTAATAAGTCCATTCTACTGGCCTCAACCACCTTTCCTGGTAATAACCTCTATTGATTGTCCAAGGTGTAAAGAATACTTTCTCATGTGTCCTTCACATTCCTGAATCTTGATCTCTCATCCTGCTCCCTTGGCTTCTACGTAAACTATTGCTTCAGGTTTACTTTCTCTGTTTCATGAAGCATCTCATATACCTCTAAAAGGTCTCATCTGAGATATCTTTTTTCCAAGGCTAAAGACCTTTTTTCCAAGGCTTATCTATTTCCTCTTAGTTCATCCCTTTACTAGTGGGGGTCATCTTAGTTGCTTCTGGTGAAGAAGCAGATACACACTGTAAAGATAAACTCAAGGCTGGAAAATGAAAACTGTCTTGTTTAGTCACTCAGTGTCACACCCAGACCACAGGTACTATTAGATGGAGAATAAAGTTTTGTCTGCTCTGAGCCACCAGTGTTATATAGCCCCAACTTTAGAACAGTGTGGACATGATTCTGACCAGGTCCCTGAACAGAATGGGCACCCAGTCAGTCAGGCATGAATTGTTTGGGTCTATATATTAGCAAATCATACTTTTCCCTCTTAACCCCAATGCTGTGCAAAAGGCAGTGTAGGTTGTTGTGCATATGCAGTCCTGAATGGGGTATTGAGGGCTGATTGTAGGCAATGTATGTGGTTGTGTGTGTGCAATGCTGAACGGGGTTTTGAGGGCCCTTTTGATTAGGGATGAACTAATGACTTGAGAAAAATATGTGTGTGAGACAGAGTATCCGTATATGTTTATGGGCATGTGTGTGTGTGACAGAAAGCATTTGTGCTTACACTATGTATCTATGAGAGAGACTGTATATACAGCAGGTATCTGTGTGTGTTGGTATATGGAGCGTATATGTGTTGGTATTGCTACTCTCCTTGTCCATCAACACAAGTTCCTTCTTTTTACACCCAAAGTGTGAAGCGGGTGTGGATTTATGTTCAGTTGTTTCAAGTGGGCCAGCAAAAAGGGATACTGCATCTGTAACCTTTATTCCTTTTTTATATAAAAAAAAGTGTTTTTATATTAAAGCAATTCTGTTAATTCAGATACAACAAATTTATATTTAGTACAGAAAAAAGGAGAGGATTTAATCCCCTGAAACATAGATCCAGATCGTGAATGGCAACGGTCACGTCTTATTTTCATTTACGTTGACTCTCGGCAAACATGACCAAGCCTACGAGAGATAGAGAGAGAGAGAGAGAGCAGAAGCCAATCAACTAAACCAGACCAGCACAGCCTCCTGTATCTACCACCTCCTGACCCATGTCTTACGTATAAAGCATTCACCAACTCTTGGAAATACCGTAGCATAAGCTGTAATGGGGTAGCAATATAATTTTAAACATACTTCCGTAAATTATTGTAGGCCAGTAATATAGGACTAGGGCTGTGTATTGTCCAAATTAGGATCAGACACTAAAAAATATTCCATAATGAATCTTTCATACAAGTATCTCTTGGTTCCAAACCGTCAGTATTTGGTAGGCGGATGATTCAGATCTGGGCTATACCATGTTCATCCCTTGCAATATACAATGCACGTTCTTCAGCTGGGAGCTTGGGGGGAAAAAAAGCCCAGCCTTTCGGGTTAGAGGAAGATACGCAGATCTTTGCGGAAACTCCTAGAACCACACCATTTGCTTTGGTCACCACCATGCAATTTTGTGGAACACGAATTCTCTCTGGGAAACATGGGTGCAAACCAGAGTTTTATATCAGTTCCCAAATGGCTGTTGCAAAATACAGTCGGCAGCAGGAATGTCAAGTTGATTCTAGTGTTTGATTCAATTTCCACTTGATCTCTTAAGTTGCGTTTTTTCCTTGCCCAAAGTGTAGTCCTGGAACCCACAGTCGTGCAGTCCTGTGTTGTCAATCCATCCCCACATGAGCTGTTGTAATCCTTACAAATTCCAATTATATTCCAATGGTCCAAAGCAGAATAGTTATCCAGCAATTCCATGGCTTGCTGAAACACATATTAACAGTGAGAATTGCTTGTAATTTTACATTTACTTTTTTTTTTGATTTTTTTTTTTCTTTTGTTTTATTTTTTGGTCCCTACTGGATTGACGGCAGTGTTAGAATGTTTTTGCCCTTGTGATTTACCAGAGGCGGCTTCAACGGATTATGAGAATTAAAGTCGCCAGGACAGTGAGAACTACGGCCCCGGAGCTGGGGCAAGGGCTGGGGTTACCTCCTCCCGAGGGTGACTTTTTGATCCCGGGCGGTTCGATCCGTGGTCGACGGGTACATTTCGTACGACGCCTGGGAGGGAATGTGGGAACACCCTGTGCGTTCTGGCTGACGTCTGGTAAATAATCTCTGCCCCGCATCCCATCGAGCTGCTGGTGGATGTCGTTGGCCGATTTTTTTCGTGCGCCATTTGCCTCTGTGGGGTATGTTTTGCCGATGTGATCCGGAAATTTGCCAGGGTGGCTTGTGTCGTTCTTGCCAGGCAGGCTGTGTCCTGGGGTGATGTCCCGCGAGGAAGGTGGGCCGACATGCGAGCGGTGACCATTCTCCAGACCCTGCTTGCCAGTGTGATGGGGATGCTGTTTGGGGCTAGTTCGGATCTGATTGAGTAACTCCGAACCCGTGCAGTTCTGAAAGACCCGAGGGGGGAGGACCTTTAGATCTTTCCCTTTGAGCTCCTTCGGGGATTCGCAGAGCACGCTGGAGCTCGATCCCCTAAACCTCTGAAGCCAGTCCCACAAGGATCGAGATTTACAGGTACATTCCCAAGGGTTGCCATTTAATCTGAGATACTGCAATGACCCAAGCTCAGCCAGGCACTCTCCAGGGAGTGAAATCAGGCTATTATTGAACAAATACAAGGTGGCCAGCCTTCGAAGATCATGAAACGCCCGTTTGTTAACCCAATGAAGCCTGTTCTGGTGGAGCAGGAGGCGATCAAGACTGATCAGGCCTCTGAAGGTATTCTGGGACAAACTCAATAGGCGATTCCCATGCAGGAAAAGTTGAGTAAGGTTGACTAGTTCTAAAAACAGATCATCCTGGAGATACTCTATGTGGTTTTCCTGGAGATAGAGATACTGCAGGTTGTGAAGACCTGTAAATATTCCATTGGGCAGAAAGGTCAATCCACAGCGGTAGAGGTGCAATGCATGAAGCTTCTCCAAGCCACTAAAGGTCTCTGCATCCAGGAATCTCAGGTAACGATTGTCCCCGAGATCAAGCTCCTCGAGAAGACTGAATCCACGGAAAGCCTCCGGATCGATGAAGGTGATGTTGTTGGAATACAACCAAAGGGTGACTGTGGATGGGCTGAATGTGTTCCTTAATAGAAGAGTTATCCTGTTGTTCTGGAGGAAGATTCTCTCGCTGTTCTCAGGAATTCCTTCAGGGATGGAGGTAATTCCATGAGACTGACAGGTGACAGTCATAGGAGAAGGGTAACATACGCAGTCTCTGGGACAAGAAGCTGAAATGTGCAGCTCCAACCCAATCAAAACTAGGAACAGCTCGATACCACACCCTGGAATCAGAGAAACACAAATGTTGAATTGGAATCACAATACAAAACAAAATTTCATTTCTATAGCGCCTTCGATGTCAGGAGGATGTCCCAAGGCAGGGATTTGGACCAGAGCGGGGTGGGGGTGGAGTGGAATCAGGGAGGGTAGAGAGCAGGGAGGGTAGAGAGCAGGGAGGGTAGAGAGCAGGGAGGGTGGCCAAAAGCACGGTCGTAGGAGGGTCTTGAGACGTGCCTTGAAGGAGGCAAGGGAGGGAACAAGGCTGAATACAGTATTTTTGACACAGTCAGACATCAGGAAAAGACATTTGAAGAATAATAGTAATAATTGACGAAACGTTTCAAAGTGATTCACAGGATAGATATACTTTAACATTTTGGTGAATGAAATGCAGTAGCCAGTTTGCTCACAGCAATGTCTCACAAACAGCCACAGCCATGACAGTGTATTTTTTAGGGAGTGGAGCAGACAATTTGCACACAACAATATCCCTCCCACAAACAGCAATGAAGTAAGTGAATGACCGATTTTATCTCGGGGCTTGTAGGCCAGGACTCCCTTCTCTTTACAAATCGTGCCACAGTACCTTTAAACGTCTGCCTGAGCAGGTAAGCTGGACCTTAGTTTAACATAAAGGCCATTGGAGCTGTATTAGCACGTCAGTCCAGACTGTGAGCTCAAATTCCCATTGAACCCGTAATCGGGTTCAGAGGCGAGGCGAGACTCGGAGGCGAGAGTGAGTCAGCCTTACGACTGAATTGCCTCATTTGCATCCTCACAGGGTGACCTCCGTTTCTGATTTCTGTGAAACACCTGAGGGTAAGTTTTGTTTGCAATTTGCAATTCGCTTTTAATTTTTTTCACACATAAGCTTCTTTGCTTTGGAATCCAACCCGCGCACAGCGGAATGTAATTACAGGACGCTGCAGGTTTAGGGAACTGGAAAGTATTGAACTGGAGCCTCAAATTACATGTCAGTGGAAATGTGCTTGAAAAGTATATATTGGCTCAACAATGTGCTGCAGCTGAGAGCGTGAACACTGCGGGTCACACCTGCAATTCTGGGCTCAGAATAAGCCGTCTCGCCTAGCACGGGAAAAGGCCGAGACTGGTTCTAATAGCAAGGCTCCTGTATGCCTGGTGACAGTTCAGCTGTCAGATAGCTGGCCTGTTGCCTGAGAAATGGTGTATAACACCTAAGGGCAGCAGACCTGGAGAGCAGGGAAGAGAATTATTTTTACAGTTAATGAAATTTTAGAAAAAGCTCCCAGGTAGCCCAGTGAGTTATACCGCTGCCTGCCAGGAAAGTACCAGAAGCCTGAACTTTCTCATGGTCTTAGCCTCAAGACCATTACTGCTTTGAATTTCAAGTTGTACAGAATTTTTTGGAAGATTTCTTTTCACCCAGTCTTATTTGAAAGCCCGTTCTTCTGAAGCACTGTTGAAGACCAGCTTCCACAAATGCGACTGAAATTAAGAATTCTCCACAATTCTGCACGATCTTAAATAATAATAATCCTTGCATTTGATACAGCACCTTATCTTGCCTTCTAGATGTCTCAAAGCGCTTCAATGTCAAATGTCCTGGCCTCAAACACCTTGAGCACTAAATGTTGTCAATTAATCTCTGTGTGAAAAGAAATACTTCCTGGTATATGTTTTAAAATTTCCCCTTCTTGAACCTGAATCTTGCTCTCTTGTCCTGCTGGCATGGTATATCGGAAACTATTTTACCAGGTTTCATTTGTATTGTTTGATTAAGCATTGACGATGGTGCTACAAGTTCTCCTCTAAGGTTGCTGAAGAGACCTGATCTTCCTCGTAACTTAACCCTCAAACACTGGGGATAAGCCTTGTTGCTTAGCAGTTAACCACAGCAGATATCATTTTATGATGGCCTTTTCTGGGTCGACTATGGTTAATTGTTGCAGTGCCAATACATCTGACACACCTAACACTGGGGATCAGCCTTGTTGCTCTCCTGTGCACTGACTCTAGGATCTAGGCGAAGCTCAGATCTGTGTTGGCAGGCTGACTGTTTTCTGCCTCAACCATTTTCAGTGATTCCCAGGGATACCAAAAGCGATTCGGAAGAAAAGAAGGATGGTAAACATGAGCTTAAGATGGACACACACACACACAGAAAAACATTAAACACAACACTCACAGTCAATAAGGAAAGAGGCTGGAATATCCCATCTAATGGATACGTAAAGTAAACAGTGAGGTACAGAATTATTAAAGTGGCTTTCTGGTAATCTGATCTTTTTACATATTTTAAACCTGAAATCGTAGAATCATAGAATATCACAGCACAGAAGGATGCCATTCGGCCCATCGTGCCAGCTCTTTGAAAGAGCTACTCAATCAGTCCTATTCCCCCACTCTTTCCCAACAATAATAATCCTTGCATTTGAAATAGCGCTTTTCATGTCTTCTAGAAGTCTCAAAGTGCTTCACAGAATATATTGTAAAGTGAATTGACTGTATATTTTGTGAGCGAAACTCGGCAGCCAATTGCGCACAGCAGGTCCCACAAACAGTCGTTGATTGAGTGCCTAAATTATTATTTTTTTCTTGAGGGATTATTATTAGACGTGTGGAGTAAGGAAACTTGCCCAAGGTTTAGCCCTGCCAGGAATCGAACCCAGGTGTCTCGCTTGCGAGGCGAGTGCTCTAACCCCTGAGCTACAGGACTTCCCATTTTACCACTGCAAATTTTTCCTTTTTAAGTACCTATCTAATTCCCTTTTGGAGAATTGTTATTGAATCTGTTCCTACCTCCCTCTCAGGCAGTGCATTCCAGACCATAACAACTCTCTTGTATGAAAAAAAATTCTCCTCATCTCCGCTTTGGTTCTTTTGCCAATTATCTAAATCTGTGTCCTCTGGTTGCTGACCCACCCGCCAGTGGAAACAGTTTCTTCCTTTCTACGCTATCAAAACCCTTCATAATTTTGAACACCTATTAAATCTCCCTTAACCTTCCTAGTGAAATGTACTACTAACAGTTTAACATAAAATTTAGGGCATCGAATGGGGTGCTACAGAATTTTTGTGCCGTGGAGTGAAGGTTTGATCCCCTTTTGAGCTGTTCCTACTCAAAAAATGACACAACTGTATTGAGAAGTGCTGAATAGAGGCTTCTCCACAGAGAAGCAAAAGGGAGCGATACAGTGCCTGTGCACACTTAGTGACTGGCATTGATTGCCGAAACAGGTTACCCGCACTCTCACAAAAACGAGGACAAATGGAAGAGGGACAGAATAAATTTAGTTTTAATATATGATAACAATCTCTTTCACTAATAATTGAAGCTGGGGATAAATATCCTTCAGCACTACCGGGAAATTAGGAAGAACTTGCCAGAGATTTATATATAGCGTGTGGTTGTGCACTAATGTGGGCGTTTTACAAATGAGGCTGGAGCAGAGTAGGTTCAGAAGCTCAGCAATAAGGGTTGGTCTTCAGCAGATGCAATGCTATGGTTAATTATTATCAAATTTTCATTTTAGAAACCCGCTTTCTCTCTTTGCATTCGTAGCTGTCTAGAGGAATTCACGTAATCTGGGAATACAGTCTATTTGTATTAGCTGTACAAGTAATTTTCCACAATTGCTTTTTAAGCACTTTATTTGGAGTACACACTTAAGAGCAATAGACATAAAGTATGTTGCAGTACAGAAACTAATTTGCAAACGAGCTGTTTCAGTTTCTTTAATATGATGGTTTTAAATTTTCCTGAAGAACTTGGAGAATTTATATTACTCTCCAGCAGGTAGATGACCAATTGACAGAGTAACACTTTCTAATCCAAATGGAGGGATAGACATCAAGAACAGACGTATGTTGATGCAGTCGCACAGAGCAGAATAAGTGCTTCTTGTTTGAGACTGAGTGGAGTTCACTATTGATAAAGATAGATCACTATATTCCTATAATCCTTGTGTTTGATTTGGTGCCCTTCATGCAAGGACGTCTCAAAGCGCTTCACAGAATATACTGTAAAGTACAGGGATTATTGTGTTTTTAAGTGAATGAGGCAGCTGATTAGCACATAGCAATGTTTCAAACCAACCATGAAGTGAATGACTAGCTCTATCTAGGGAATTGTTGGCTGGGTCACTAGGAGAAACTCCTTTCTCTTTTTGAATAGCTACATGGGATCTTCAACCTGAACAAGCACAGACGGGACCTCAGTGTAATGTCTCACCGAAGGACGGCACCTCTGATAACAGACCAAACCTGACACTGCATTGGAGTGGCAGCCTACAAGGTGATTTCAAAGTTCCTACATGGGACTTGATCCCACAACCTTTTGACACAAGAGGCAAGAGTGCTACTTGTTGAGTCGGGTGGCACACCTGTCAATCACAAGATTGGTTTGAATGAAGAAGGTCCTTGGTCTCACCTGTCCTGATCTCTCATGAATACCCACTCTACAATCCTCCCATTATAGCAATAAGCTGCGAGTCTTAAACGAGTCCAGTGCGCTGGCCTCAATCATTTTTCCTGGCAACTTGCTCCAGTTGTTAATTAGATCCTCTGTCCCAGTACACTTTGAGCTCATGGCCTAGGTTGGCATTTCAACAGACTGACTGTTGGGGGAAGCACTGTATTGTCGGAGATTAAAATTGAAGGCTTGTCAGCCTGTTCAGACCTGCCCCTTGACCAGCCAACCCCACCCCACCTCCCCCAGGTAAAATTGGCCTTTCACTTCACAGGTGTTTGTGGGACATTACAGTGAGGAAATTGATGGTCCACACAGTCACTACCTCTTCACTGTAAAAACAAAAATCCTACAAAGCTCTTTGAGATGTCTTGATGATGTAATAAGGCGCTATATCAAATGCAAGGATTATTAATTATAAACTTTTAAGGACTTCAGTGCAAAGAAATTGAAGGCCACTTTGGATTCTTGAAGACTATGTGCTTAACATGGTTAATAGAGTTAGACTGTAAGTGGAGTAGCCTCTGTAGAATCTCTCTCCCAATACACTTC